AGGGTCGCTATGAGTCGCAAACGACTCGACAGCACATAACACCAACAACAAGACAAAAGGATTTCCAGCATCCAGAAATAACTGTACTTGTTAAATGCGATCAAGTTGATTCCAACACCATACAACAGAACCAAACTTTTAAATTCAACCAAACTGAACACTATCTCATCCTATGCCACCCTCCAGAAACAATGCAGTCGAATATACCAGATTGTATTATGAATAACAATAAGAAACATTGGGCGAAAAGATTTTTATGAAAGCACTAGAAAGCAAAATTCATGGAAACGTAGAAGGGGCTACAGTTAACAAATTGGTTTGTCTTGGAGAGTGTGAAACCAAGTTTTCCCTTGGAGGCTCGGATTCTGAAGCTCTGTCTCATATACTTTGGGCATGTGCCCAGGAGGCACCAATCCTTGGAGGACATCATGTGGAGGGACAGCACAGGAGAGATGATCATGAATGAGATGGATTGATAAAGTAACTAGGGCAACAGGGGTTGGTGTTTCAGAATTAGTGAGACTGGTTCAGGATAGGGCAGGGTTCAGAGCTGCTGTACATAAGGTCTCAGGTGACTTGACACATAACAACTACTAGTGGGAAGACAAAGTAAAATATTACAATGAAATGTGCAAGGAGCTGAAATCAGAAAATCAAAAGGGCTGAACTCATTCAGCATTTCTTAAAGTCAAGGAACTGAAGAGCAAATTCAAACCTTGTTACTAAAGGATGCTTTGGGCAGAATACTAAATGATCCATAAGTATTAAAAGAAGATGGAAAGAGTATAGAGAGTCACTGTATCAAAAGGAATTGGCAGACACAAAAGAATTTAATGAAACACATATGAACAAGAGCCTATGGTGATGAAGGAAGAAGTTCAAGCTGTTTTGAAGGAATTGGCAAAAAGAAAAAAAAAGGCCCCAGGAATAGATGGTATACCAACTGATGTATTTCAACTAACAGATGCTGTCCTATATGTGCTCACCAAGTTGTGCCTAGAAATCTGGAGAACCACCACCTGGCCAACTGACTGGAAGAGATCTGTATTTGTTTCCATTCCAAGGAAAGGTGACCCAACAGATGTGGCAATTATAGAACAGTATCATTGACATCACATGAAAGCAAGATTCTGCTGAAGAGTATCCAAAAACAACTGGAAAAAGCACATCAACAGAGAAGTGCCAGAAGTCCAGGCTGGGTTTAGAAGGTGTCATGGTACTAGGGATATAGTAGCTAATGTTAGATGGATCTTGGCTCAATGCAGGGAGTACCAGAGCAATGTTTATGTGTGTTTGATTACGCAAAAGCCTTTGGCTGCGTGGATCATAAAAACCTGTGGCTGATTCTGAGAATGGGAATCCTGGAACATATGACCCAAAAGATTTCTTTTGAACTCTGCTTTTCTAGACCTTGACATTATTAAGAAATAAATATTCTCAATTTCCCAGTGTCTTTGTAAGAGGGGATTAGTTACATTAACTTGAGGTCACCCTAGAGTTTAAGATGTTGAGACACTTAAACTAATAGCTGTCTCTAGTATTTCTTCAATTTTTCTTTTCTCTAATGTATGATCTTACCTGTAGGCCCTAATCCTATGAGTGCCATTAAAAAACAGAGGGACGACAACTATGTGAAGACAGAGTCAGACATTGGAGTTAATGCTAAGACACATGTAGGGCTACCAAAAATGGAAAGTGACAAAGAATTTTCCCACTAGTGTCTTCATAGTATGTCCCTACCAATTCTAAGGACTGGTCTCCCCTGACCACATGCCCAAAGTGTGTGAGATGGAGCTTCAAAATCCTAGCCTCCAAAGGAGAAACTTGGTTTCATAGTTAAAAATGAAAGGAACATGTGTATTTAAAATATCTTTTATTTGGCTTGATATATGTAAAATAGTACATTTCAAAATGTAATATAAAAGGTTACTGAGGTATTTTGTGTTCACATGGAATCTTCAAAACGTTCTGTGCAGTTTTATACTTCCAGTAGATGTCACACTTCAAATGCTCATTAGCTGCATATGACACTTAGGTCCAAAGTTGTAAGGTGCTGTCGAACCCTGACTCACAGCAGTCCCATGTACAACAGAATGAGACACCTCCGAATCTTGCATCAACCTCTCAATCTCCACTGTGATCTAGCTATCTAGTTGAGGGTGTTTCTCTTTTTCACGGACCCTCTAGTTTTCCAAGCAAGATGCCTTTTTGAATGGAATAAGTGGCTGAGGCCGATCATTTGTGGAGATACTACTATCACCAAGTATGTGTGCAGTCACTACAAAGAACACAGTAGACCTATATGGAAGACATCTTAAAAAAAAATCTCTAAGACATAAGAAGTGAAAAAATTATCGTCAGAATATGCATAAATAATCCCTTTTGTGTAAAAAGACATGTTACATGCTTTCAAGCCAGAACTAGGAGTTGACTCTCTAGTGTGTTTTTAAAGCCTGTGAATTACACAGGAGATCGCCCATCTTTTTCCTGCGCAGCAGCTGCTGGATCATAGCAGCTTTTCTTTGGGTTGGCAGTCAACTCCTTACCCTGTAGGCCACCAGAGCTCCCTCGTCAACTTTAAGAAAATGATACACATCGTCAACAGATGAACTACAGCCACATGCCATCATGGAGGCCTCAGTACCTCAGAAGAGGTCAATCACAAATGAACATAAGTCGTGATTCCTTTTATGTAACTCTTTTTGAAAGAGTAAACCCATGATGTCATAATGAGGACAGGGTTACCCTTGGGATGGGGTGTGATTGTTAACGGATCACAGGGAACTTCCAGAGAATTGATGTTTTACTTCTTGACCTTTGTGCTAATTCAAATAGCTGTGCATTATTATGCATTCTTCTGTGCCATGCTTCCAAAAAAGTAGTTCTTAAAGGATGAGGTATGATCATTCTATACATAAGAAATAGCGTGAAATCAAAACACAGATCACCACCTTTACTGAGCACTGAAGTGATTCACTTCCCAGAAAGCTAAACTATTACTTACCTTGAACTGGTCATTTGA